GACCTTCAATCTTGAAATCACAGTTACTCTCAACCTTCTTCGACTGACCAAGGTGAGCGTGTGGGGCTGAATGGATACTTGGATCAACTATATTGGTTGATGACCTAGTGGGGTTACTACGGCAATGAGAATGTATATTATGTTGTAGCCTTGAGATCGGTATTGTGTATGTCCGGCATATGCACTATATCACTAAAATAATGTAATAGCGGAATTCCGCCATAATAAGCAAACTATCCGAGCTGCACACATCACTAAAATAATGTTATCACGGTCCGAATTCAGAATTCCGTACATAGCATGAAGGCAAGGGCAGAGTGTAGGGTGTACAGACCAATTCGGGACATGAACACGTTTGCAAAGGAAGTGTGGTTTTCTCCGGTATAGATTGTCCCAGGACATAAACAGAGCACCCCAGAGACGATTATCAAATAAGGCCCTACTTACCTGTATGCATTTCGGTTACATTGGCAACCACATTGGTCATAACTCGTAACATTTTCTCCTTCCTGTATTTAGCCATGATGACGTTGGCTCAACATCCCAGTTCAAATGCACACATAGCTTAGAATGTATTTGAATGGATGGTGAGAGGACAAAATGAAAAAAAAAATGTTTTACCATCCGGTATTGCCCACAGTCAATTCAATTGGAATTGTAGACTATGTTTGCGCCAGCACAAATAGAAGGCTAGAACTGCCTTTCCTGTTGAATTCACCACACAACACGTAAGTGGCCTGATAAGAGAGGTGCTCTTGTGCATTGGCTCATACACAAATCGTCAAAATCTTGGTTTTGAGCTCTTGGCTTCATGTGGCATGAATATGAAGGCCAGGCATGCAGTTTCTTTTAGCTTTCCCTGGAAATAATAATAACTTTGTGGCTTTGTTATTCACATTGTTTATTTAATTTTATAGAAGAGAAAAAAGGACCATCGAACTACAAGTTACGCTATAATGTCCACTAACACCACCAGTTACTTGCTCGGCTAAAAAAACTTCGTGATGGATTTTTGAGGCACTGGTTGGCGCACAAACTGCCGAGAAATGAGTCGCGATCACTTTCTCGGCCTTCCCTGGCATGTCATGAAAGAGGTGCGGTGCAAGGAAAGCGACCTTTTACAACAGGCCGAGCGAAATCGATAGTGATGACAGTCGTGGCAATCGAAACTGAAATACCACTTCTCTGAGGGGATAATTCGCTGCTCGGCCTCTCTACTACTCTAGCACTGAGTTTGAGAGTGATAGAGAGCGATGGAACGAAGCAGCGAGCCCACACAATGGGCGAGTAAACAAGGAGCTGCTCCGATCGCATGGCATAATGAAATAATTCTGAATTCAAGTTCTTGTTCAACCTGCCCAAAGCCGAGATTAGAATGCTGATGACCATGCATTCATTCAGAAGTCTGCAGTCCGACGCAAGCCTTGTGACTACAGTAAGTCAACTGGTCTTGCTGGCCGCTGCCGTTCAGTGCTGGCAGGAGTGGCCATCATAGAAATTGGAATCAGTTTGGCTTTGCCTGTACTCCTGGTTTCGCGGAGTTCTGGAGAGCGAAAATGAAACCAGGGAGTCATACAATATTTTTACGATTCCCTGGTGGTAACCAGTAATCGCCACGGTGGCAGATCACGCAACTTGAAAGGCAACTTACTTTTAAAACGACGGCGACATCAAGTTCAGTGTAGTGTGATCAAAGAAGCTAAGGCAAGCCTGAAACAAGCAGAAAAACGACTCGAGAGAGATGACAACTCGCGTGCAGCAGATGACGACAGCGACGCAGGGTCAAAAGTAAGTCGAGCGAAAGCGACACAAACTGAACTCTCTGCTCATTCCGCCAGCAGTTTCTCCTGTGAATACGCTGTACATAGGCTGAACTACCTTCGACCAGTGATTCGCAGTTGATAGAAACTGTTCTTGACCTGTTTTGCTACCGTATAAAATAGAATGGACACGGCTTGAGTCAAACTCAGAATTGCCAAGACTCACCTTAGCTTAATTCCCCAAAACAGCTGAATTCTCTATCACTGACAGATCGAGTAAAGTCACAAACGGTTTAAAGCTGTATAGACCCAGGCTAGTGCTAGACGTATCTGAAGTTAACGTCTTTTGCATAGCTGCGGGGATAAAACCGTTTGTGACTTTACTCGATCAGCTTTAATTAATGTCCACAAAATTTAGCCCATCATTCATTCTGCACTCTCTTACATATACACGCTGTACTCCATCGGTTGCCACCCTGACACCTCATTGGCAAGTCGCCTTGTAACATGTTACCACTGTTGCATTCTGCTGTGCCGCGAGAGTAACTACCATTGACGTACGCGAAATTTCGCTTGTTTGACTCTGGAGCCGGCGGGTCACAATACGTATACTCTGCAAAGGAAGAAAAAAGAAAACGGGAACAACAGCGCACACATTTGACCTAACATCAGATCAGATCAAGCGAGTATGCCGGTTCAGTACAAACGTCCCAGCGGGTGTTCATGATTTGCGACTGCACACAGCACACTGCACACAGCTCACAGCACACTGCACCGACACTCTACACACTGCCGATATGGAATCCTGCCATGTAGCTGGAAGTTGGCGCATGTCGTGCCAGTGTTCAAAAAGAACTCCAAATCAAATCCGGCCAACTACCGCCCAGTGTCTCTTCTCTCGATCCTCTCCAAGGTAATGGAAGGCATCAACCGCCAACTGAAAGTTGTGGTCAGCGGTCAAACTTCATCTGCTCAGCTTATCACCGCGGGAGTACCTCAGGGAAGTATCCTCGGGCCGACTATATTTCTTATCTACGTCAGCGACATCGACCAATGTCTTACCCCGGAACGCGCCTTAGCTCCTTTGCCGATGACAAGACGCTATACAGCCTGTTGCAACTAGGAACTGCTGCTCCCCACAATGCCGCCTTACAAGATGCCCTACATGGCCTTGAAGAGTGGGGTGAGCGGTGGCGGGTGACATTTGAGCCATCCAAGTCACAGCAGCTACTGTGCACATGATCCTTGGACCCAGCCACTCCAGGCATCTCATTTGGTGGTGTCGACATTGCCCAGGCATCAACACTGAAGCTGTTGGGTATATTGTTCGACTCAAAGCTCTCGTTTCGCCAGCACATCAGCAGCATGGCGGTGAGAGCAAGTCAACGTTTTGGGTTTTTGCACCGAGCCGCGAGGATACTTGACACCAATGGCCGTCTGAGTGTCTACCGAGGATTCATTCGCCCTATGCTGGAGTATGCTCCACTGGTCTGGATGTCTGCTGCCCCGACCCATCTGGCCAGGCTCGACAGCATTCAGTGGAAGGCAATGGCCATCATAGGACCAGATGTGCTCCTCCAGAGTCTGCACGATGCACTCTCTCTCTGGGCTGTGCAACATGTACAAGCTTCAGTGCATCGGAAGCCCACAACAGCTGACCAACATTGTCCCACCAGCTGCACCCACTGTGGTTCGTCCACGAACCTGACACACGCATGCGGTGACCCATCCTCACCAGCTCCTCAATTGCCTACCACCAGCTGCACCGGAGTACATCAGGCGGTCCTTCCCGTTTGCCCACATTAGTTTGTGGAATCAACTGCCACCCTCCCTGTTCCAGCCACCAATGTCCCTGCAACGGCTGCACCGCTTCAAGGCAGCTGCATGGAAGCACTTGCTACACACTAGTTGGCTGTGGGCTACAGACCACCTCTGAAAGCCACTGCTGCACACACCTGCGACGAAGTTGCCAGCCACTCTGGTCTAGATTCACCCTGCCGTATCACTCGAGAGCTACCCACACATCTCTCAATCTCCCCCATTTTTCCACTATTATTATCCCCTTCTTGTTTGTTTTGTCTTATTTATTTATAACCACAATCAATAAAACTAGCTGAACCGACATTTGTGTACTTTATTCATGCAATGTAAAAACGGTGGAGACGATGTGCAATAAAACGATGAAAATATGAAGAAATGGTGCAGGGAAAAATATGGATTCAAACAAGTTTTCGTACAACACTCATCAGGAATCGTCGTTGTACTAAAGGACACTGAAACAAAAATTGAACTATTATAGAGAATCGTCTCCACCGTTTTTACATTGCATGAATAAAGTACACAAATGTCGGTTCAGCTAGTTTTATTGATTGCGGTTATCAAATTATTGTCTCCTCGCCGTGTGTTTAAATTCTTTATTTATTTATTTCATTTTTCTTCAGTAGCTTTCTTATGTTGGCTCATTATAAACTTATGATTGGGTGGTGGTTGTGTATATTTGAATTCGCAAACCGAACGGGCTGAACATGTCGAATGACAAGGAAGCGAATGAAGTCCAAGTAACCCAGAAATGGGGACACAGATGTGAAGAAAATATGGGAACAGAAGGCTCTCAGCAAAGGAAGAAGAGAAAAGAAGGAGAGAAAAAGAATAAAGGAGAAAAGAAGAAAAATCGTGGTCACGGCGAGAAGAAAGCTTTTAGCAAAAAGAGAAAGGAAAGGATAAAGGAGAAAAGGGGGAAACACATCGTGGTCACGGCCAAAGCCGGAGTAGCGGCAAGACACAGTAGACATAACCACAACAGGAACAAGCACGCATGAAGTATGGGCCATGCCGGCCCAGAAGCGGAAGACACCGACAGGAAGAGAGAAGAGAAGAGAAGAGAGAGAAGTCGAAGCATGCACATCTACACGCACACACCCACACACACACACCCACACACACGCACACACACCCACACACACGCACACCCACACACACGCACACACACACACACACACACACATACATGTACATACCCACACCTACACACACATGCACACATACTCGGACACATACCCCCCCCCCCACACACACACACGCACATGCGCACGCACACACATACACACACACACACACACACACACACACACACACACACACACACACACACACACACACACACATACACACACACACACACATATACACACACATGTACATTGACAGCCACACATAAAATTGCTTTGCAATGTTCTCAGTTCATAGAAGAAACGGGACTGCTGCAGCACGGAACTGACGAGGAACGGAGATGGAGCGAATACTGCTAGGCAGGTTGTTCCAGCATAGCGCACCCTGGAAGGCGAATGTCCCCTTTCCAGATTTGCTGCGGGCGGGTGGCAGGCAGAGACCCATGCCAGAGTCCAGGCGCGTGGACCGGCCACAAGCTGGCAGCAAGAGAACCTGAAGCTCAGGACTTGCTTGGCCGTAACGGCAGCGCCATGCAAGGAATGCCAGCTTCTGCTTGTGTACTTCAGCAACCCGATACAGTGAGAGGCGCTCCAGTAGGTCATGTGCGGATGTCCATGGCGGGCGTCCGAACACTACACGGGCACCACGGTTTTGCAGAACCTGTAGTCGATGACAGTGCCTGGCTGCCAGAGATGTCGAGAATGCATTTGATCCACATAGAAGATCAGGCATTAGAGAGGTTCCGGGGTACGATTTTCCGTGCCAAAATCCGTATGGGCGCTACGGATTTTTTCCAGGCATGCTCCATACGATTTTTCGGCACGGAGAATCCGTGTGGACTGGCTTTCACACGAACCATGTTTCGTATGGAGATTTTGCGTCATCGGGTGCAGAAAGATTTTTCGCGTACAAATTTGGTACGAGAAACATCGATTTTCCGCGGGACGTTTTGATTTCGGTACAAATTTTCAAAGTAAAAAGGCATAGCGCGGGAATGTGACGTGTTTGCGATCGTTACCTAGGCAATGACGGCAAACACATAAGTTCCGTACTCCGGAACATTTCACCGCTCGAAAACGACGTACAAAAAATCCGTAGCGCCTCTACGGATTTTGGCACGAAAAGTCGTACTCCGGAACCTCCCTATTATGATGGACTGGAAGTAAGTTATCCGACCCTGTGTGCTGAGGCAACGCCGCATCCTCCACAGGACTCCGATCTTTCGTGATACACGGTTTGCACAGCGGGTTACGTGGTCATCCCAAGACATGTTGCTATCAAATGTTATGCCAAGGTACCTGGCAGACTCCACAAGTGGCAGCAGGGTCCCGTTACAGTTCACCGAGAGTGGAGTATGCTTCTCAGGTAGGTTCCCAGAAATGGAGATCACCTGGCTTTTGGAAGCGTTCAGGATCAAGCCACGGTCGTTTAGCCAGTTAGCAATAGCTGAAGCTGACAGCTTCATCCCAAGACATGTTGCTATCAAATGTTATGCCAAGGTACCTGGCAGACTCCACACGTGGCAGCAGGGTCCCGTTACAGTTCACCGAGAGTGGAGTATGCTTCTCAGGTAGGTTCCCAGAAATGGAGATCACCTGGCTTTTGGAAGCATTCAGGATCAAGCCACGGTCGTTTAGCCAGTTAGCAATAGCTGAAGCTGACGCAGACAGAATTGCAGACACTTCAGGCTTAGTCGGTTTGCTGCAAGTGAGACCAATGTCATCTGCAAACTGCAAAGACAGAGTTTGTCCAGCAACATAGGGTATTTCCCGAGTGTATACGTTGAACAAAATGGGGCCGAGCACAGATCCCTGTGGCACTCCGCAGGTGCAGCGAGTGATAGTGCTGCGTGATGGTCCGATACACACACGCTGGGTTCGTTCGGAGAGGTAAGACATGAACCACCGCAGGGCTGTGGCCGTGACGCCAACATTGAAGAGGTCGAGAATTAGTTGGTGATGTCTAACTTTATTGAATGCTTTTGACATGTCCAGTAAGCAGACACCTGTGTACTTTTGTTTGTCCCGGGCAGTAAGGATACGGTTGGTGATGAGAGCTAGTGCATCCTCTGTGGAATGGCTGCTGCGAAATGCAAACTGAGTGGAGGGAAGTGACTCTGTGATGTTCATGACTGATACAAGTTCCTTCTGCACCAGCTTCTCTAATAGCTTGGACAGGATTGGGAGAAGGGAAATGGGACGGAAGTGAGTGGGAACTGCTGGGTCATCAGCTTTATAGCGGTGATACGTGTGCAAGCTTGAAGGCAGAGGGTACTGTACCACGGGATAGTGAGGCATTGATGAGAGCAGCATCAGACGGAGCAATGATATCAGCACAGCACTTCAGAAGTACTCCTGGGATGCTGTCACTGCCTGTGGCCTTGGCTGCATTGATGCCTCTCAGGAGACGATAAACAGAGTTGGTTCGGACATACTGGAAAGCTGATAAGGCTGTGGGGCGTGATGGACCCTGTGGCATGGTGAGCACAGGAGGTCTATCATTATCAGTCACAACTTTACTGAAGGCTGTGGCGACATCCTCCACATCACACATTGGCTCAATACGTTGGCGAGTTCGAGATGTTACAGTGTTGAGGATATGCCACAGTTTGCGTGGATTGCGACTATGTTCAGCACATAGGATTTGGAAATACTCATTGCGTTTCCTACGATAGGCATTCCTGGCAGCCGCACGGGCACGCCTGAATGCTGAGTAGAGATGGGTGCTGTCCTTGTTCTGAAGCCACTGGCGATGTAGCCTTTTCTTGCGACACTGGAGTTGGTACAATTCCCTGTCAGACCACGGGGGATATGAGCTCGCCTTCCTGCTGGTGGATTTGAGAGGGGCATGCCTGTCAAGAACACGCATGAATTTAGTGTGCCAAGCGCTCCACATCTCATCAGTGGAGGAAGTCGATTGGAACACGCTCAGGTTGGCATTGGCAAGCTCATCCCGAAATTCTGGAAAGTATATGGTGCGCATGTTGCGGGTTAAACTGGTGCCCTGGCGTTGCGAGGAGTGTTGATGCTTAGCGGACGGTAGCGCGAGGTCCAGTCTAGCATGTACGGCTGAGTGATCACTCAGAGTACAGGGTATGACATTGTAGGAGACTGTAGCAGGGCTACTGGTGAGGATCAGGTCCAGTGTTGTGCCGATTGGACATCTTGGGGTTATTCGGGTTGGGACAGAGACTAAATTTTTCAAACCGAAAGAGTGAATTGCGTCATTGAAACGGTGGAGCTGGGGTGTTGCAGCTGAGCTAACATTAATGTTGAAGTCACCAAGCAGGGTGACAGATGGTGACACCACTGCAGCCTGGTGAAGAGCCTGCTCAAATCTGTCCCAATAATGAATTGATTCAGCAGGGGGGCGGTACATACACGCACAAAGATGGCGCTGTTTGGAGTGGTGCAGACTGATCCACACAGCTTCAATACCGTCCACCTTCAAATCTGGCTGTACGGTGACAGGAAGTGTAGCCCTGTAATACAGGCACACACCTCCACCAGGACGGCCGGCTCGATCCAGCCTGGCAAAGCTGTATCCAGATATTTCTATCTCATTGTTAACTACTGTGTTGGTGAGCCAAGTCTCGGCCACACCAACAATGTTCCAGTCCATCAAATGCATAGTTTGTGCATACTTTGTAGCGCAGACTACAAATGTTGAGGAATGCAATGGTCAAATCTTGCTCCGACGGTGCAAGCACTGTTCTTGCAACAGTGGGTTGGAATGGTGTAGCGTTCGGATTGAGAGGAACTGGAGCTTGAGGAGCAGAGGTTGTCGAAATATGGTACTGATGTCAAGTTAGCACTCAAATGTTATTCCGTTGATTGTGACCTGTGCGCCACAGTTATCCGTATCTTCAGCACCTGAAACTTCGTCAATTTCAGCTGCAGTGGAGAAAGCATTGGCGAGTTTGTCAGCCTGGGAAGTTGCTGGGAATGTATCCTTCCCTGACGCCATGGTGAATCCATCTTTGTCAGTGTCAGGTGACTGATGAGGTGCCTTCCCTCTGCCACTGAAAAATCTGTTGCCCTCCTGCATTGGCATCCTGGTCTCACTGCGTTCCTGAGTCTGTGAAAGCATGTCAGTGGTTTGACATGTTTTCACTCCACCCTGAACTGCAGACTGTCCAGCAGCTCCATCTGTACATGTAGTCATCTCTGAGGCAGCAGTTGAACTCTCATGAACTTCACGCTCAGGGTCCATGACCTGACCTGTATTCGAACCAGCCTTGTGGATCCGAGAGTACAGCGTGGAGTTGCCGGCAGATGCAGAGTTGTTGTTGTGCTGGCCACAGTCCTTCGCGAGGTGCGTACGGGAGCCACACTTGAAGCACGTGGGAACTTGACCCCTGTGCCAAACGCGAAGTTTTTGACCGGAGCCAGGCAGCACGATTGTAGACGGTACGGTGGACTTGGGTACAACATTTACAAATACAGTGCCAGTCGTGAACGTACAGCCATCCACAGACTTTTCTTCCCGCTTTGGGAGACCAATGGTGGTCCCAAACTTCTCCATAGCCGATGTAATGGCCGACAGCGGAGTATCATCTGCCACGCCAAAGATATGCACAGAGACTACAGCTCCATCACCAACTAACAGTACTAATTGAGCTCCGTCGACAGTGAGCCCTCTGGATAACACCTCGTCTCTGACAGATGTGGAGGAAAACGAAACTCTACAAACTCCTCGCCTTCCGCTCAGGTCAATTTGTTTTATTTCATCTGGTTTGACACCAGAGGAAAGCAACAGTCTAATAAATAAGGCATGGTCCTTGCAGGGAAGGTTGCCACTCAGCTGTATGGAACATACTCGAGACATTTCTAACAGGTATACATACACACAGGATTGAATGATTCCGGAGCGCCAAAAACTGCATCCACTTGCCAGCTCTACTCATGATTAATTTTGATGCATACATGGCACTCTGACGCCGAGACCCATGGTCGGCAGAGTCCATGTATTTCATCAGCACAGCTAATAACTGGCATTGTGGATAGCGCCTACCCAGTCCAATGGACCGTATGCGTGTTAAAACAAAATGACGCCAAGATTTATTGAAAGTGGTATAGTTGGTGGTACGAGTGTTCAAACCCATTTCAACTTCATACTGTTCGTCTTCTTTTTGACATGCTCTCTTTCCATCGTCCTTAGCTTTTGTTTGTTGAGAGCTGTTTTGGCTTTCTCCTATACCTCTGGGGGATGCCAAGTGATGGTTTTGAGAGGCTGGTGATGGCTGTGAGCGAGAGTTTGCCGATCGGCGTCGTCCTCGCTATAGCGATGAAAATACTAGTTACTGCGCACCTGGCAGATATTACAACACGTCGGAGCGTCCAGGAGCAAAGGAATCTTAGGTTTTGACTGGAATCTAGTTCCTCCAGCATCGTGTAGCCCACCGTCGGTGAATGGCGGTCCAGAAAGGTCGAACCTGGTCTTCTGCAGCATCTCGCAGTCCTGCGAGGCACACTGAATACGCCTGTCATGTATTCTACAAATAAAAATCATGAAGTAGTGGACTTTATAGTGATGAGTCTATCCTGTATGCTGCAAAAGACACATGAAATGTGACTGGTGTCCGTACACTGGACGCCAATATCATCCCAGTCTTCTCCTGCAGGATCTGTTTGACATTGACATACCGGTATGCAGTGGGTCGACATTGGCCTGGTTTGGCAGCTATCTGCCTGGGTGGATGTAGCAGGTTTGCATTGGCGCGTCGTCCAGTCCGACATTTTCTTGTAACTGTGGAGTACCGGCAGGGTTTGAGAGGTTGCTCGTGCTGTGAACACATCTCCACTGCCTGTCTCGTCCTGAAAGTGCCGTCTCGCCGCTTCCTTGCTCTACAGTCACGCCGTTATTTCGCTTTGTTTCGTGGTGCAGCTCAAAACCTGCCCAAACAACTGTGAGCTCGCAACATGGTATTGACAAATTGCACCACTCATGCTGGTTAACTAAAATCGGGATAGTCGAGTAAGCGAGTTCACTCCCTGGGCCATGGCAAGATCTGTTCAGCTCGGGCTATTCCAACCTCCAAGTGCATAGTCACCGATCGATCCATGCGATGGTGGTTGACCTACAAAGAACCAAGGTCTACGAGTTCTACTATTGGATGCTGTCTACATGCAGTCAACAAAATCAAAGTACTTCAGTATGCCCCAGAATAGGGCATGTGCATCTATAGCATGACACCACAGGGGTTCTGGCGGCACCTGTCAAACAAGCAGTAGCAACCAGTGCCAGCTACCTATTGGAGGCTAGCCGCTACAGTCTGTCACTGGAGATAATTATTATGTTCACTGTTTAGACTGAGCACAATCAATGATGCCCAATCAATCTGCCCAATGTGTGTTCTGTTCCACCTAATTATAACGTCCCATCGCATCAACCCTACTACACGCACATGTCGTCACTCTAGCATGACTTGTGTTATTATTGTTTATTTTGATTCGCACGATAAATAGAGCACAATAAACGTTAACTTGACCGAAGGATAAAGGCGACTGCAGATAGAGGAACACATCGAGGTACAGGTACCGGCATCGATTCAGTATCAGAGAGAAACAAACAAAAATGAGAGGTACGCAGAAAAACTCTCGTAAGCCCAAGGGGAAGTGGTTGATGAGGGATGAATGCACTCTCCACGCTCATCTACACTGTTCGTGGAAATGCACACATACATACAATATTCAACATAGCGATAGCATGCACAGAACCGAACAATTTAATGTTCACACGTGCAAGCACAGACCTGAACATTAGTACCAAAAGCCGATACAGACAATATCCCCACACACAGACGCACACACACACACACACACACACACACACACACACACAATGTCCCATGTGTGTGTGTTTATCATGTATGCGCCCGTGGCGAGAAAAGCACGCAAATCTACAAATGCACTGTGAACCCACAGATTTTCTCTTATAGGAACGATAGCGGATCTGATTCTGAATGAAACACACACACACACACACACACACACACACACACACACACACACACACACAATACAATCATTGAATGCCCATCCGCAGATGATGGCAGGTCCTGAAAGAACAGGCAGTGTTCCAGTAATGGGGAACAGAACTTCGAGTGGCGAGTGAGGTATACACACACACACACACACACACGTGCGTGCGCGGGCACACACTAAAGTATTCAGAAATAGAATCGACATTGTAGTATTCATTGGTTGGGGAATGGAAAGGAAAATAAAACATTGCTGTAGGTTATTGTTGTAAGGACACTGGGAGCAGAACAGAAAGGTAAGCAACTTGCTTTGAAGCAAAGAAAGTTATTATTCCACGGATCTCAGAAGGAAGGAACGTTCCAGAATGCTGCACTGGCAACAGGCGGCCTGCATGTGCGGGGCCCCTGCAGTCGGTCCAGCTGCCGGCCTTGCAGTGCTGAAAAGAATGTGCAGTACAGCATGTCACATAGTATCGCAGCCTGGACAAATAGGCGCTGGGAAGTCCTAGTTATGTGCTCACCTACACCACGATGCACCGAGCTACTTTGGTAACAACTTTGTCCACTTGAGACTCCTATGGGCTGAGCCAGTTGTTGAGGGCTGCACCAAGGTGGACGGCAATGACCGCTGATGGCAAGGCAATCCATGACACACAGTCACTAGGGCATCGTCAACATGACGCTGAGGCTGGATCGATAAAATCAACCTTTAGGCTGTCGCGGGGTTGACAACGAGGCCGCTGTCTCGAAGCTAGTCAGTCAGCCTGGTCACCGCCATTGACGAACCAGTCGCCACCGCCAGCAGTGGCAGTAGGTTGTGACAAGTGTGGTGCAATATTGTCAGCAAATTCAGTACTTAGGATAAGATGAGTGACAAAGGGAACGTTGTGTTTGATAACATTGAAGTGAACAGGGATGATCACAAACCCTGCGCGTACTCCACCGTGAGTTACAAGAAAATTCCGGACTGGACGACGAACAAACGCCAACCTGCTACATCCAACCAGGCAGATACTATTACGATAGCTGCCAAATCAGGTCAATGCCGACCTACTGCATAATGTCAATGTCAAACAGATCCTGCAGGAGAAGACTGGGGTGTTGGCGTCCAGTCACTGAGTGTACAGACACCAGTCACATTTCCTGTGTCTTTTGCAGCATACAGGCGGAGACTCATCACTGTATGAGTTTTATTTGTACAATACATGGTGTGCCTCGCAGGACTGCGAGGTGCTGCAGAAGACCAGGTTCGACCTTTCTGGACCGCCATTCACCGACGGTGGGCTACACGATGCTGGAGGAACTAGATTCCAGCAAAAAACCCAAGATTTCTTTTCTCCTGGACGCTCCGACGTGTTGTGATATCTGCCAGGTGCGCAGTAACTAGTATTTTCATCGCTATAGCGAGGACGACGCCGATCGGCAAACTCTCGCTCACAGCCATCACCAGCCTCTCAAAACCATCACTTGGCATCCCCCAGAGGTACAGGAGAAAGCCAAAACAGCTCACAAGAAACAAAAGCTAAGGACGATGGAAAGAGAGCATGTCAAAAAGAAGACGAACAGTATGAAGTTGAAATGGGTTTGAACACTCGTACCACCAACTATACCACTTTCAATAAATTGTGACGCCATTTTGTTTTAACAT